CGGCAGCCGACCAGTCAAGGGCTGCCGACCGTCGGGGTGTGCAACTCTGCTCTTATCCTCTTTGACGAAAAAACTCTGAAAAAAATCATGGAAGGAAAAATGTTTCCCAGAGAAGAAGAGAAAGAGACCAGAAAAGGAGCTGAAATACACAATCTAAGAGAGAGAGAGAGAGAGAGAGAGAGAGAGAGAGAGAGAGAGAGAGAGCAGAAAAGGAGCTGAAATACACAATCTATGTGACTATTGCGGCCATTCATTTGTCAATTGTTTTCAGTATTCTATCACGGGTTCATGATTTTGCAGTTCGTGGTGATCATTTGTTTGACCGTCTGCATGTGTGACAGGAGGTCGAGGGTACGTCAGTTTATATTACAGTCCTCTTTAGGGCTATTGGTGATCTGGGGGAGACTAGGGATTCAGAAAGTGATTTAACGGTCAAAGTGAGGGAGGAAGCTGATGAGGAGGAAAGAGAGGTGAAGGCAGAGGCTGAAGCTCGGCTGGTTAAGCTCTGTGAGCGCGTTCTACAGCAAGCCTGCAACGGCCATCCCGAAATCGGTGATGTACCAAGACCAGATATGTATCAAGCTCTCGCTTTGCGAACTCCAGTGGTTGTCAGGGTGAGTGAGTGCACAATGCACATGCATTTCATTTTATTTTATTTTTTGTTTTTTTCACATGCATTTATATTTTTTTATTTTTTTTTCACATGCATTTTATTTTCCTACTGCTCTGTTGCGAACCAGAATGTTATGGGATGTCTTGGCGTGTCCAATCTGTTGTGTGGCGGTTCTGTTTTCTGGATATCGTATTATTCGACCACTAGCCTTGGCCTTTGCTTCAATCAGAATTCACGTAGAATGCCACATTTCATGTGTAAGTTCATTTTGGAATGCCACGTTTCATGTATACGTTCATTTTGCATAACTCATAAATTTATAGTCTCGCAAACTCATAACTTCCATCATATATGATTAGTCCTCCCAACTTTTGGCATCTGAAGACTCCTTGTGCCTTTTTTTTTTTTTTTTTACTGCTGAGATGCCAAAAGACTCCCTGTGC